AATATATATTTTTAACCTTTAAGAGTTGACACATGGTTTTAATGATGATGACAAAACCTTGTCGAAACGTTGTACATTTGCTGTCATGTTAAACTTATATTAAAGTTTTTCTTCATTACCCATTTAAGCCGTCTCCAGCCATTAAAATGTCTTAGTTTGGCAGAATTATAATGGTGATTGTATATTCCATAATGTTCTAAAAAATGTGTATATGGCAGCATATTGCACTATAACACCTACCCATAAGTGTTTTGAACAAGCTGTTAGTTATATAGTACAGTAATGCGAACATTGCCGTAAATTAATGTGAATGAGTCTTAATAGGCCTATATTTCCTACAAAAATTTACCCTTACCCTGAAACCTCATTTATTCCTACAAGTGTTGCATAAATTATTCTCAAATAAGCAAGCTCTGCAAATGTAGTGTTCTGTGTTTCTGAGCCATCTGAAAGTCTTAATCAAATCAACAATTTTAAAAATAACCCACTCCTGACATTATAAATTTTAGCTGTCTCACCCCTGAACTACGTTTAACCACACTGAAGTTAACTAGTCTACATTCTTGTTACCAATCCAACCACCTAAAAATTTTATATTTAAATAAAATAAATGATTTCACAGTTTAGTGATTATAGTAAAATCCCTTATTGACTAATAACTAATATTGCTTACTAGTAGATCATGTCTGTAGTTTCATGTAATTAATTGCCAATTGAGATAACTTACTAATGTATTAAATTTTTAGCAGCTACCAAATAATAACCCCCCTTTGACTCAACGGGAAATCTGAGGACTTATAATGCAAAAAAACTAGGACTGAACACCTGCAGTGGGCATAGCCTACTTGCATGAGATTGAATAGATGATAGACAATGAAAAATACTTAATATAAGATGATATATATCTGGGGTTATAACTAGGTGCCAAAATTGTATTCATGAGTTTTGTGGTCCCACCAGGAAGTTTAGGGGGACTTCTGTTGCTTTATAGAGGAAAGTTTTGCAATGTTTGGACTATAGACAGTTACTCTAAGGTGGATGTATGATGAATTGTTTTCATTTGTCAGCTTGATCTATGATTCACTGCAGAAAGCAGCCATTTACACAGGATTTTCTACAAGTTTTGCAAAATTACAGTATGGTAAGGTTGAGTTTATTGGCATGAATGAGATGCAATATATGCTCCAAAAGCTTTCATAGACAAAATTTGCCTGCTTTCCTAAACTCATAACAAACATAATTACTTGGATCAGTATGTTGTTGTTGTTTGTTATTGAGCACAATGCTACACAAAGGGCTATCTGTGCTCTGTCCACCACGAGTATCGTAACCTAGTTTCTAGCAGTATAAATTTGCAGACATACCGCTGTGCCACTGGGGAGCTGGATCTGTTTGTATGCTACAGATTTAGTAACACATGCTACTTCATCAGTAAGTAATTGGACAATCAATTATCTTGGACATCAATACATAAAACAAACAGTTCTTCTGCAAAAAATGTTAAATAAAAATGTCATAATTTGGTGATCATGGATGACATGATCTCACATGACATGTTGAGTTCCAGAATCATCTGAATTCAATCAGCCCTACTACACAATTCACTTTAGAAGTTGAAGATGAGGGTTGTTTAAACCTTTTATATGTTTCTTTAAAAAGAGAGAGGGGCTATCTGTCTACTTCTGTATACAGGTAGCTATTCTCAGTTGCCATGGCGCTGCATGTGAGATCGTGTCATCCATGGCCATAACAAATGTCCTCATTTTCGTCTTTTGTTTATAGGACTATTAATGTTTCATCATATGATGTGGATTTGATGTTAGAATTAACGTATTTAAAACAGGTAGCGACTGATAGAGGGGTATCAACCTCAAATTTCTGGATGTACTAAATTGCAGATAACAACAATTGAAAGTAGAGAAAGAATATGCTTGCCTCATGTTTCACCATGGTCAATAAAAACAGGTAATGTGTTTAAGCAAAATATGAATTGTTAAGTAACATTTACTTCTCAATAAAAATTAAGTCATATAATTAATGGTTTGAAAGATAAAACTGAATTAAAGGATAACGTGGTATATATATAATTTCATGTACTTGTGGTCTAAGTTATATTGGACAGACAAGTAGGAACTTAAAATTTAGAGTAAAAGAACATCAAAATGTGGTGGATAAACTAAAAATGGGTGAATTGGCTTTGGCAGAACATGTGGCAAATTCTACGTGTTATTGAGTGGGATAATGTAAAAATACTTAAACGGGTAACAGAAAAAGATGAACTAAATATAAGAGAATCCTTAGAAATTGTTAAAAACAAAATGAATATAAATAGAGATTTAGGCCTAGGAGCCATGGAAGTAAACTTTTGGAAATCATTGTTGTAAATGGCACCATTGTAAAAACATGCTAGTTATACATGAACATTAGGTTTATAAGAAACTTCATGTGTACTTCGTGATTTATTCTCATGAAGATGGTGGAATTATTTCCACCGAAACATGTAGTTTTTAAAGTTTATTTTAACTTATATCTTTTAAACTTTACAAATAAATGATTGTACAAGTAAAAACTCTGATGTCTCATTTTATTAATTATATCTAAAATATCTTGGGCATGTTGTGAAAGTCAATTGTGCTTTTTTAGTTTTTAAGTGGACATAGCACTATTACAATGTGAATCATGTTTGTAATCCCTGATGCTTAGCTATTTATTAATTAGCAGTAGTTTGAGACTTGCTGACTTATCTGATATACTGTTTTCAACTACATCTCACTATAAACATATAGAGAGAATTATTTGATAAAAGCTTCGGTGTGCATCGACTTATAAGATTAACTATTGGCACATACTCTTAGGACCCCCTGGGGAATAACAAAGGAGGTCAATGTTTGGATCTGACACCCCATGTAACCCCCAGTGACCCCATGTCTTGAATGGATACATCAGCTAATATATAGAGACAGAGGGCAAGAACTGTTTGCAATAAGATCAGTACAAGTTTACAATAAAATAGCCCATTAATATTAAACATACTAAACTAATAAATTCTGTCTTAAACACTCATTTCTGTCTACAAACCATTAATTTGATTAGGATTCAGTTACAAAAAATAGCTTCAAACAATGATACTGAAATCCTAATTCATTACCCTTCAAGAAAATAATACTTCAAAAAACAAACAAACAACAACATAAATGTTAATCAAGTAGATCATTTGGGGGTGTTTCATCTAAAATGATGAGAGGAATTTCTTCTGTTTCACACAAGGTAGACTCCTCAAACAACTTTCTCTTTTCATTCACAGTTAAAGGATCAGTCATTATAGGCCAGACTTTGTCTGGTGTTAAATCTGAATCATCATCAGTACCTGAAGAACCAACATCTGATAAGATAGGTGATCTTGTACATTTTCCAGAAGAGCTGAATAAAATGTCTCTGAACAAAATGGGACACTGTTTGCTGTCCTGGTTGGATAAACTGGAAGACAAGTCATATTCCACAGAAGAGCAAGATTTTATAGTACTTTCACTACAACTAGAACTATCTACAACAATAACATTTTCAGCAGTACTGGAGCTAGTTTCTCTATTTGTAAGTTTCTTGGATACATATTTACCTTTGGAGGATTTTACATGTCCAAATGAATCAGAACCATGCAGCTTACACAGTAACATATCATCTGAATCACAGGTATTATTATTTTTAGTTTCATACGAGTTTTCTGGTTTTAAATATTTATTATCCACAGAGTTACTGCAATTTAAAATCATTCCTTCTTTATTGCTCCTACCATTATCACATATCTGCACTCTATGCTTTATGGGCAAGTTGGTTTCTACAAATAGTTCATTGTCTGAGGTAAATGTGGAATTTTTAAGAGTCTTGTTAGTGTTAAACAGTAAGTCTGACTTCATATTTGTGAAGTCAGATACAGAATATTCAGAAGTCTTTTTTGAGTTAAACCTTGATTTTCCTGGCCTTGTTACTGGGCTAAGCAATGACGCTTCAGTGATCTTTCTTGAATCAAACACCAAGTCTCTAGTGTCTTGCGTTGAGCTAAACACAGAGTCCCCAGAGATTTTTCTTGATTCAGACATCAGATCTTCATTGGCTTTTTTTGTGTTAAACACCGAGTTTGTAATATTTACGGAGGAAGACAATGACTTTTCCAGAAATTTAGCTTTTTTTGACTCAGAAACTAAGCATTCAGGTATCTTTACAGAATTGAGCAAAACATCTTCTGAACTATTTTTTGATTTAATCTTTAATACGTTTTCATAAATGTTTCTACTGTTAAACTCTGAGCCTTCCAGGTACTTTGAATTAAACAATATATTTTCATGGGTTTTCCTTAACTTGATTGATGAGCCTTCAAGGGTCTTTACAGAGTTAATTGTTGTTTCTTCAGCTTTCGTTTTAGGAACTTCTTTGGATTTATTGCACACACTACATGATTTAAATATTTCTGATGAAACAAATTGTGGCTTTTCTTCTGACTCAGAAAAACTGCCACTCAAGCTGTACTCACTCAATGAATCATTTGGTTTTTCTTTTTCTGTATGTTGGGAATCTGTGATATCAGAAGAAGACTCTGAAATCTGTGAACTATGATGATCTGTTTTGTAGATGTTGTGGTGAGATATGTATTCTTGTTTACCTTGTAACATTAGTTGCTTTTCACAAAATGGAATATCTAAAAAGAAATACAAATGAATATAACATACACACATGTACCGTTAAAATACTATAAATTTCAAGTAAGAATCTAAATCAACTTTTGGTTATACTTATAATAGATAATAAGCAGATTCAGCTCTATAACTTGTTAAAAGAACAACTTTGAATGGGATAACAGCAAACAGTTATAATATGTGGATTCAAAAGTTTCCAATTTCTACAAGTTACAAGTATAACAGTAATAGTGGAAAATATATTTCACGTTTTAATGATAAGAATATTTGAAACACAATATATATATATATATGAGAAAGTTCAAAACAGAGTAGAAGGTACTCATTTAAAATCAATGAGATAATCTTCAAGGACTTCCAGTTTCTTCAAAATTACTTAAGAGAATCAAAGTTTAACTTGAAGTGCAGTTAACTGTTCTGATTTCAAGAACCTGCTTTTTATGCATTTTGATATTCTATCACTAGATATAATAGATAATACACACATTAGCTAACTATTTATATCTCATTTCTAAGTACAATAAAAATGCAGTATACAGGACAACAACACTTTAACACTAAAATATAAATCATGAATGAGTGAATTAGTTAAAAAATCAAAGGTAACTAATTCACTCATTCATGATTTGAGTGGCTACTTGGTAACCATTTATTTTATTCAATAGGCTATCCAGTTATACAAGTTAGTAAGTATCTGATGCAGAAGTAAAGGGAAAAATTATCTTACACTTGATTATTATTGTATCAACTTGTTTGAAACAGGTTTCCCTTGCAATGGCCTTATTTCTAATATTGGATTATGAATTAATATATTTTCACCTCTTTAAAGAAAATATTCAGCTAGCCATCATTAGAAAAAACAAAGAAAGTGTTGTAATAAATGAAATGTATTATCAATCTGAATATTGTATGATGTTAATATCAGAAGTGTTTATTTTAGTTTTCATTTTATGTTAAAAGGGAAAATGAAACATGACACTTTTGGATGTTGTTCTTCATTAAATGTTAAAAATAGTGATAAAAACAGTTTATTTAGGTTTCAACTATGAGGTAATGTAACCTATTTTACTTCCAGAGTAGACTTGGGCTTGAGAGAGTAAAATGTACTAACTTTTTATATGTTTAGAACTGCAAAGCTTCCCTAGAGGAACATGCTCTGGGGCTGATTGCTCAGAATCATGTTTCTGGAGTTGACCTGAACGACAGAATGGCTGCAACCACCTTACTATCTAAGAGAAATAAAATGAACACTTATTTTATTGTTTTGTTTACCAAACCAGCCAAAATTTATAATATTTGAAAACGAGATGGCTCAGATTGTAGGAGACGAAATAAGCAAAGTGAAAAGTATGATTTTTCAATTCCACCTTCAAATTTTGAATTAGCTTCAGTCTCAAAAAAAATTTAAGGCATAGTTTTTAGAATCAGAGATTAATTAATGTCAGATACAAGAATAAAAACACAAATGGAATTTTGTTATACGTTTGAATAATGTTTAATTATTTCGTCTTGTCAGAAGAGTGAACTAGAAATACATAACTTTAGGGAAATTAATATTTTACAAATTTTGATGACAATTTCCTCTGAATGGTCATGTTTTATGAATCAACTGTTGTAGTGTGATGCCAAGAAAAATATTTAAACAAGTTTGTTAAAATATTAAATTTAGATGGCATAATTTCAAAAATTAAATTCAAATGTCTTTAAAATTGTCAAAACTTACAATAACATGACAGAGAGCAATACCATGTCTCTTCAGGAGATGTATAAGTATATATGATCATGCTTAGCATTTAAGTTTTTTAGAGTAATCTTAACCAATGACTTAAAAAAACTTTCTAGAAAATGTATCTTCTGTCAAAAAACAATAGATAACAGAAATTTAATTCACCATTAACTAAATTTGTACATTTTTAGAATTAAAATGAGCTTCAAACAAATACTGTATGCCTTTCCTTGTTGAGTTTGCTATCATGTTGTCACAAACATGTGACTTAAAGTCCCAAATGTCCTTGATGCAATACAGAGCATGTGTCCCAAGCCTAGTCTCAAACCTTTCACGAATCAAAACGAAAATATACATAAGCTCTGCTTTCCCAGCATAATTCAAATTTTTGAAGATGCAGTCATAATGGAATACTACATGTAGCTCAACTCTAAAGAGATGGATGGGAAAGTGACTGCTTGAAAAAGATTTTAATAATAAATGTAAAATGCAAGTTAACTAGTCTTACATCTGAAATACTGAAAATTGAAAAATACTGGGGACCAGGGAGAAATAAGATTTTACTGAAATACTTACATGTTACTATATGTTACATGGCAGTAAAATAATAGCCTAGACCATGATTAGGATGTAAGCAAACAGAGAGTAGAACACAGGAGCTTATCTCTATGGTTCTTGGATGGATGCATCCCACTTTGAGGGCTAATTGCACCAATGAATTAAAACAGTTATAGAAAATTAACTTGTAGTCGAGAGTTAAAATTTATTCATCAAAAGATTATATATTTATTTTTATAAATGATAATAAAAAATCACAATTTTTGATTTTGGGTTGATTTCTGTGCTATCCAAATGACATCATTTGTTCCATCAAATTAGTCTTGAATAAAATAGCATTAATTTGTCCCTTGTAACTTCAATACAAGTGTAGTTTCAACAATTTTAGCCAATCACAGGTTATCAACCTTGGCTGTGATGGTGTTATGTAATCATCTATATCTCAGCTTTGAGAATAGACTGACTAGTGAACTAAACATGTTACTAAAGCTCTTTTTCACGTCATTTCAGCTGTACAAGCCAATATGACTTCCACTTCAATGGAGATCATGTATATATCAGAAAAAGTGATAAAAGCTTAGTCTGGTGATATGTTGGTGGAAGAAAAGGTGTTTGTGAACAACTTCTGCCACAATTGTGATCTTGATATTTCAGAGTTTGCATTATCATTTTATACTTCAGTTCAATTATGATGTTGCATTATGATAGGAAAATAAATACTTTTTGTGGAACAAAATTAAGTACGTTGCATCATTTTTTACTCAACAGTATCAAGTAAACTGCTTGAATGGCCGTAGAAAATCAGCAAAAAGAAATGTCACATATATATAATGATTTAAAAAACTTATTTCATAAATTAAATCTTCTCAATTTTTGTGTTATGAAAAAGTTATTTTTATTGCACTTTTGTTATGGAATCAAACACAGATAAAATTTAGTTTTTAAAATGAAAACCTTACGAATATGGGTTGATAAAAGAGAGAATTTCATGACCATTTTGCAGAGTTACATTAAAAATTTAAACAACTTTATTAAGAATTCATGTGAATAATGTCCATAACCTTGGCATCAAAATATAGTTAATAAATCAAATTTTCATATAAGTTTTAATTTCTTAATTTCAAAACCAAACATATAATTAAATTCTCAATCTTCATATGTATTATATGACACTTTTTACGCTCCAAATTGCTCATTCCTTCCACCCCTACTTGAACTTTTTAATTTTGATACAAGTTACATGGCTATACAGTGTAGGTAACACTTAGACATTATCTAAATTTAGTCTCCAATATTTATATATATAAACTACAAAGTCAGGCCCACATGCCAAATCTCCTATCACATTCTGTCTTTCAAAGATGTCAGTAATCCTCCCTAACATTTGTTATTACACCTATATAAAAAGATTCAGTGTTTGTGCATGTCACATAAATCTTACTAAACCACTGGTCACACTGACTTCTAAGTGGTACCAAATGAATCGTCTTGGTCCTGACATTTGCACAAAGGTAAACTTTTTCACCACACTCCTTAGGGAACCCAGGTATATCACAAAAGTATTTTCATAGGATTCTCCAAAAGCAGACTCCAAAATTGGCACTGATTTACACTAGAGCAAGTAAATAAGTAGGCTTATTAATTACCTTGATTAAAAAAAAATTAAACTTGCATTATTGCACCAATAATCATTAAACTGAAATGGTGCAAAATGGTAGTTCAAGTATTAAATTTCCATTATAGCAGCCCTGTAAATGTGGGCCACAGGCCCATGGGTTCTCTACTTATTTATAATGAATAAAAAGAGAAGATTTTAATTTACTGAAAGATATATCTATATAATACTACCTAATTCTGATAATAGCTTTTGAGTTATTTGGCCTACAGGTTCAAAATTGCTATTGCCAAATTCACCTTGAACATGGTAAGGGTATTATTTTCATGCATTTATAGCTTAGTTAGAAAGCCAAATAAATTATCATACTTATAGGACATTGTATTCTTTCTGTATGTTATTATTCATGTTCTAAGTTGAATATTTGAAATAAATAAAAATTCAGTAAAGTACTCACAGCAACTACACCACACATAGGTACTGAAATTTCTTGTTTGTTTATGTAAATTTTTTATTATTATTAAAGTAACTAAAATGCAAAAATTAAAATCTTATTAGGTCATGTAAAAAAATAAACAAAAAAATATTCTTTTTAGCAATAACGATAAAAATTGATAATGAGTGTGTATAGAAGACTATAAAATGTATGCAGTCATAAAGAGCTAAAACCAGACCAAAATGGAGGGCTATAAACTGACAAGTCATTCCCAAAATGGTAAAGGAAATTTTGAGTAGAGAAACGAATCATAACATGTAAATGAGTGCCTAAGATATCCATTTTTAAGATCCAAAAACCATAATATAGGAATTTACTTAAGAACCTTAAATTTTCCATCTTGAAATGAATGTCTATATAACAATTAAGATGGGACAATTCTACTACCTGTCTCTAATCTCTTAGTTTCTTTGGGACGATAAGGAGATTGCAATAAATTAGAATGTGGGGAAGCATGAAGTACTGTTTTAATAGCCACTTTCTGGTCCAAAATTGGAATAGAAAGATCATATGGAAAATAAAATGAAAAAGCCAAAACAAAATCGTACAATCTAATTAACCCAAGGGTTTTACAGATGAACACATAACTTTGAGTCACATGCTTGTTGACAGCATAAGATAAAACTCAAGAAGGAAAGGATTTTACTATTTTAGGGTAAAGACTATATAATTTGAAATCTTGCTTTACATAGCTGATAAGGCTGACAATTGTGCAAGTATTATTAAGTAGAAGACCATACCTCTGACACTGTTGACCCTTTGGGTACAACATTTGGATAGACATTAATTGGCTTCAAATGTCTAATCAGATCCTGTATCTCTGTCAATGAAGAATGCATTGAATAACATACTCGGTAGAAATTTTGTCTGGCACTGTACTTAATACTCTGGACAGTAACATGATGAGCATACCACATAGCACAAAGCTTGATTGTTAGTACCTCCATCTAGAATTATGTAACACATATCATGATACATAAAATTATTTTTCAAAAACAGTAATAACTTCAACTGGCTGTAAGGTAGTTTTTAAATTTCTCTATTTAAAGAAAATACAAAGTACTATAATTAAATAATAACTTACCGTAGTTCACCCAGCTGTGAAAGAGTACTACCTATAATTTCAGAAAATAAAGTAACACAACTTTTAATAAAATACAGCATTAAAAACTGGTTGTAGATAGTCAATCAATGTTAATCACATAAGCCAGACATGAGATAAGCATCAAGTTGTTTCATTGTAGCATAAACCTTTTAAACTCACTGAATAATATTTAAGAAAACCCAAAACAATATTTTACAACATACATTTCATCACCGAACAACAAAAAATAAAAACAAAATTATAATTCAAACTGACAATGTTATATTCTTATCCAGTTATATTCAATATAAGTACCACAGGATAAACAGTTTGAAAATTGACCTATACTTGATTCTGTCAGGATTTTAAATAACACTTGTCATTTAACTTTTATCATTGAAGAAAAACCTGTAGATCAAATTATTAAGTAAAATATATAAATATTCAAAAAACTATACTAAGCTTACAATGTCAGGAAAAGCATAACTGTGGTATTTTCAGTTAAACTGAGGTCCTGAGAGTCTATGCAAGACCAACTGCAAAATAATACTGAATTCTGCTAAAACTGACTTTGTGCTAAATAAAAAATGGACTGGATACAAAGTTTGATAGACAATGTAAAGTTTTCATTTAAACACAAACACAGCACATGTACTTGTGTTGACTGCTGGACACTCACTTTTACTTGAGTTGTGAACTGATATTTGCCACTACAACATAAAATAGCTAATATGGCCAATGCACTGTAAGGGCCCAAGGTGATCCCATATATGTGTTGAAAAATAAACGTTTTAAGAATCTCACACATGCCAATGAGAATGGTTGATGGTCTACAAGAGGGCAGCAAAAACCTTGGGCAGTGAACTATAGACAACAAAATGTCCATCAAACCAAGTGAAGCCTGTTGGATGTTGGTTACCAGATCTTACACAGAAATATTTCTCCTATGCTGGCATTTGCAGACAGAAGAGTTCCACATTGGAACTCTGTCACTATTTTGGTGTTGTAATGGACAACAGACTGACAATGTTGAACATTTTGATCACCTGCAAGAAAAATCAGCAGAGAGCCTTACCTTTCACAAATATTAAATGGCCTTCAAAAAGTTGACGACTCTACATGTTCGACATACATCGTCATCCTCAGAA